CGTCTCGGGGCCCGGGCTAGTCTTGCCGCCTGCGCCCCCATGCTCCACCGCTGGCTCTCCGGCCCCGCGCCCGCCCTCCGGGCGTGGCCACGCTGCCACCGCCCGCGCTCTGCCAGTGCACCAGCCCGCAGCCGCCCGGGCGACGCCGCGTGGCCGGACGGCGACTCCCCGCGCGTCGGGCGCTGCTGCTTCCACGCCCACCTGGCCATTCAGGCAGCCGAGCCACCGTCAGATCGCCCCGCCCCGCCTTCGCCTTGATCCGGGCCCTGCGTTCGCCATTTGCGCACTGGTGTCGCTCCCCCGCGGCCCTGGCTTAGCAGCGACGGGACCGCCTCGCGGCCTTCCGGCCGCGCCCCCGCCTCGCCCTGGCGCGGCCTGGGCTGGTTGTTGCACCCCCCCCCCCCCCCCCTCCTCCCCCGCTTCCGCTTTGCGTGGCATTCAGGCCGACCCCTCACCTTGAGGCGGTCTAGTACTGGTCGCCGCTGGGCTGGCTGCTCGCGTGGGTCACGCGTGACCTTGGCACCCGGTGGCCCCTGGCGCTGCGCGGGCGCCTTCGCCGCCAGCCTTTTCTGGGCGCCGCCCCCCCTGCACGGCCTGCTGCCAGGCAGCCCGCTTTGCCGGCGCCCCCCCCCCCCCCCCCCCAGCAGCCGCCCCGCTGCTGCTGGCCCCCCTCCCCGGCGCCGCCCTGCCGCGCGCCTGGCCCTGCTCTCAGCGGGCCCGGCTTCCGTCTCCCTCGCGCTGCCGCCGGGCGCTCCGCCGTCCCACCCGCGCACCGCGGTTTAATTCGCGACCGTATGCTCTACCAGCGCCTATCCGCCAGCACAGTCCCTCTGCCGAGCCGCTGACGCCAAAACAGTGCGCGCGGGTATGTGCATGCGCGTTGCGTGGTCTGGTTCGCGCGCATACATGCCGGTTTTTGCGCGCCGCAGGCGCCATGGAGTGCGCGCGTGTAGTATGGGTGCGCGTGTGCGCGTGTAGTGCGGGCCCGCTGGTGGCGGGCCATTGTGGACGCGGTGGATTCTTGCACTGCATCCAGGGCGCGAGGCCATGCGGGCGGGCCTGCTCGCCTCTCTTGCGCGCGCTGTCGTTGCCTAGGCGACCGCGGGCTCTGATGCGGCGGTCGCTCCGGCCCCCGAATGGCTACGATTTGGGCTTTCGCTTGCAGGACGGCCCTCTCGGCCCTGGCTCGGTCGGTCCGACCTCCCATCCAAGCGCCCTGCGCATGCCAGTCCCCAGCGCCCCGCGGGGGCGGCTGAAGTTTGCCTTCCGCCGGCTTCAGGGTCGGCGAGGTGTCGCCAGGCTACCCGGCCACTTCCCCACTCTCCATGTCATTCCTGTCTGCCTCCTCCTGTCTGGCCCATCTCTGCCGTCCGTGGGCTTGCCCTTGGGCCAGGATCTGGCGCGGCTTGGCTGCGCCCGTTAATCGCCCCTCCAGCCACCCCCCCCCGCTTCTCCAGCGCCTGCGCGCGGGGTTCCTGCATTTTCCGCGCTGCGCCCGTTGCTCTGAGAAATAAGAGGGCGATGATGGGGGGTGCGGCGGCAAAAATGATATTAAATGGCATGCGCCGCACCGCCGACCCTTCCGGGCCCGTGGACGCCGAGATCATATTTGATCTAAATGAGTCGGTTATCCTCTTCCTTTTTCTTCCTCTCCCCTCCCTTATTCCGCTCCTAGTGACAGCGGTGCAAGCTATTTAAGCTTTCGTGCGACAGTGGTCTTGTCCTGCGCAGCTGAAGCATGCTCAGCCGTCGTCGGCCGAGCCGAGGGTCGATCCGTGAGGGGGAGGGGGGGGGGGGGGGGGGGGCGCAGTGGGCGCCCCGAAAGGAACTCGCGAAGCCCCATCCCCAACGCGGCTCTCGCCTGGGCGAGGTCGCCATTATGCACCTGCACTCTTTCGAGCATGCCGCAGGTATCGATTGGCGATATTGGAAAGGAGGCGGAGGCGTTGGCTTTCAGGCTGGGCGGGGGAGCAGCCAGTCACGTTTGTTCGAGCTGCGGCTCGCGTGTACGCACAGCGCGCTACCTTTGCACTGTCAGTTACTTGATGAGGCCTTTCTCCGGGGCATTCCAGGTTTTTTTGAGACACAATGCAGACCCGTTTTCTTGCAGATGCCGTTGCACGACAATCGCTAAGGGATCAGCGCTGTTGGGCGGGATGGGTGTGTAGAGTCTGTCTTCTGAGAGTGGCTGCCTGCCTTCCACGATCTCTCGTGCCCGCGGCCTGCTTGCGTGTGCCGCCATCCCTGTCTCTCGGCACATTCCACAGACATCGCTGTCTCCTGGAAGATGGCAAGGGATATCAGGATGCCGCCAGGGACAGTCCAGGCATGTTTGTGCAGTGGACTTATCCTGCGCAGCTGACGGCCGATTTGGCGTCGGCGGCCGAGCCGAGGGTCGATCCGCGAGGGGGGGGGGGGGGAGGGGCATAGTGGGCGCTCCGAAAGGAACTCGCGAAGCCCCCTCCCCACAGCGGCTCTCGCCGGGGCAAGGTCGCCATTTCTGCACCTGCGCTTTTCGAGAGCTCATGGTCGTGTTGGAAGGGGGTGGGGGTTGCCTGGATCGGGCGGGGCAGTCAGTCACTGTCTGTCAAGCCGAGGCCCGCGTGTATTGATATGCGCGTCATTTTGCCTTGTCACCTGCACGAGGCGTTCAAGTCTGTGAGACACAATGCAGACCTGCCGCATGAGTTTGAAGATGCTTTTGCACGACTGGCCTCCTCTGGACAAGCGGCAGCCGTAGATGACGAAGGGCACCCGATTTCACACTTGCAGTTTAGAGACGCGGACCCCGCCCCCGCGGTGATGGCCACACGCCAGCGCCTACGTGTCAGTCACGTTCGGGCAGAGGGGAGTGCTTCAGAGAGAGTTGCCGCCTGCCTCTCTTGCTCTTTCCCGCCCGCGGCCTTCCTGCACCGCCGCGCGCTTTCTCTCTCGTCGCTGGCAACGCCCCCAGAGGCGCCCCTCCCCGCTTCGAAGCTGCGGACATAGTTTCACACCTGGGCCCGAGGGGGGCACCGGTCAGGGGGCCCGGTGAGCGTAGTCCGTCGCTAACCACGCACCCGTCGCGCGCGGCGCCGGACCCCCGAGAGCTCGCCTGCGCGCGCCGCGGCTCGCCAGGTGCTCGCGCGCCTGCTCGCCGCGGCGCTAGCCAGCCTGCATTTCAATTTGCAAACGCAGTGATGGGGCAGCAGGGTGAGGGTCGAGGTTGGAAGAACGTTGGATTGTCATGCAGGGTTAGCCCACCTCTTCTGTCCCTCTCTGCGCGACGAGACACAATTGCCTTGGCGCAGACAGGGCCGCCCGCCTGCCTGCCGCGCCTGTCTGCTACCGCCTCCAGTGCCAGCGGCGCTGACCACGGCTTTAATTCCTCTGAGCTAGTGCAGCGTCACTTCGAGCACCGTGCAGGGCGCCTGACACTATACATGTGGAGGGGGCGGGGGGGGGGTACTATGGGTGGTGGGGAGGTTTCACTGCGCTGTGCTTGTTTACTTGGTGCCCGTGCAACTCTTTTCAGTTTACTTGTAAGTCTGCTCGTTGCAGCGCCGCCTTTCTGTGACCGTCGCCAGGCGAATCAGATGCGCAATCCAAAATCCGCCCCCGCCCCTTCGATCGTCGGCCCTCCTCGATCTCTCGCCCCCTCCACCTCTCCGGCTTTCCTCGAACCGTGCCCCCATCGATGTTATATCGTCGATCTTCCATCCTGCGACAACATCGCCCAGAAGACGGGCATCCAGGGCCCCGATAGCGTCAAGAAACTTTTTTTTTCACGCATGCGAGGGGCGTGTCGCCTCTCGTACAGCCCCCTCTCTTGGAGGCAGTTCGACGCCGCTTGGGGGCCGACTGGGGACCTCCGAAAGGCTCGTTTGGGCCTCTTGGGGGCCTTTCGGGGCCCGGCTAAGGTCGCATTGGGCGCTCTCTGGGTTGTCTTGGGGCGATCTTGGGCTGTCTGGGGCCCCTGTAGGTTGTCTTGGGCCCTTATATGTTTGTCTTGGGCGCCTCGTGGGCCTCCCCGGGTCCGTCCGGGGCCGTTTTGAGGTCTTCTTGGGGGCCTCTTGGCCCGTCTTGGGTCAATCCGGAAGGCCTCTGAGGCAGTCTCGGACGCTTGGGAAATCAAGAAACAAATTATGCAGAACATGGCAGCTGTCCGAATTCGGACGAGTTTTGCGGGTGCCCCCCTGGATCCCTCGGGTGGCGTCTTGGAGGCTATTTGGGTTGTCTTGAGGCCATCTCGGGGCGACTGGGTGCCATCTGGGAGCGCGTGGCGACCATTCTGGTTCGTCTAGGAACCCTTGGGGGCCATTTCGAAACCGTCGGAGGCCGTCCAGGAATATTTCTGAGGCACTGAGACACTTCTGAGCACACCCCCTCCAAACAGGTCGGACGGAACTCCCAGGGGAGCAATTTGGGGAGGGGCATAAGTCTCACGCACCGTAGACCCCAATGGGTCGGCGGATTCACCGTGGATCGTCTCTTGGCCCCCTTGTCGCGTCGAGAGGAGTCGCTCCGATGTCGCGCCGTGTTCGGAGGTTGAACTTTTCCCATGCCATAGTTGGGGCGCCATCGTTTCCTGGCACTTGGTTGACGGCGCGTCCATGCGCAGTCCAGGGCTTTGGAAGGCTTTCAAGGGACAGAGGCTTCTAGATGTTTTCACCTCCCGCCACAGGACCGAATGAGGCACCCATGGCACCCGCCGTTCGCTACACGGGACGTCTTTCGGGCGACATCGGGGTTTGTCATGTCCTGCCCCCGCTCGTCTTCCCTCCTCATACTCATCCTTTTGGTGCTGCTCCTCATGTTCCTCATGCTCCTCCTCCTCCTCCTCCTCCCCCTCCTCCTCCTCCTCCTCCTCCTCCTCCGCTCAAGCGCCGTTCGGGCCCGAGTGCTGTCCATTTTGGCCACCCCGCCCCAGGTCCGACCCCCTGCGCGCCTCCACGCGGTGCTTGAGGGGCGCCGAGTAAGCCCCATTTGGGGCCGCTCTCTGCAGCCAAAGCGCAGGGGACATGACGTCGGCTGCGGTAGCATGGGGCAGATGCGGAGGTTGCGGGCGCTGCGAGTACAACTCAGCGCTGGTGGCGCGCGACCGCAGATGCGCCTGCGGTCGGCAGAGCAAGCTCTACGTGCCGAAGGGCAACAGCGACCGGGACAACCGGGCCAAACCCCTCGCGGACGCCACCTCGAAGAACGGGAAGTCCAAGGGAGTTGGGCAGTCCAGGGGGGGAGGCGGCAGCGCTAGCCAGGCCAGTGCTGGCCAGGCGGCGAGCCCCTCACGCGCGCAGTTGTTCGAGCAGACGATTTCCACCACCTCCGACCCCCTCCTGCTGAAGCTGCTGCAGGATACGGTCAACAAGGTGAAGGCGGCCAGCCAACCCACCCAGAGCCCCGAGGAGGCGCTCAGGCTGGCCTCGGGCGCATGGCGCGATGGCGCCCTGCGCCGCGACCAGGCGGTCCATGCGGTGGTCAAGGCGCAGGAGAATCTCGCCAAGGCCCAGCAGCGCGAGCGGGAAGCTGCGCTCACCCTTGCGAGGGCGGAGCAGGCCAGGACGCTCGCGGCGCAGGGCCTCGCCTCAGACATGGGCATCGCTGCCGAGGAGAAGGAGGTGCTGTTCCAGGTGAAGATCGACGAGGAGTTCTTCGCATCGCTCGACAGCCTGGACATCGAACAGCAGGACAGAGAGGCGCTGCAGAAGCTCGAGCAGGAGCTCAGGAACGCGCAGGTCACCATGGAGGGCAAGCATTCAGAGGTCCAGCAGTGGCAGGCGCGGATGGCGGAGCCCCGCCAGAAGGTCGACGAGCGGCTGGCCGCGCCGACGCAGGCGAGGCCAATGTGGCCGAGCCAGCGGCGGCGCCGCCGCCGGCAGGCAGCGGCGCCAGCAGCGCGGCCGCAGCGGCAGCAGCGCCACCGACAGCAGGTGCCGCTGGCGGCGGCTCGGGGCTCACCGAGGAGGCAAAGCTGCAGCGGGCGGCGGAACGCCTCAGCGAGTCCAAGCTGGCGGCAGCGATGGCAGCGCAGGCGGCGAAGGTGGCGGCGGCGGCGGCGAGCGGGGCATCGGCCGCGCAGGCGGCCGCCCAGACCGACGTGCCCGAGTGAGGCAGGACGCCTGCGCCTCAGGCGCCGATGGGTCAGCGGCAGGACCCAGCGGGCCTTGGGGGCAACATGCAGGCAGTTTCGCGCTCCCCATCGGGGAGCTCTTCAGATGCTGATTTTGAAAAGGCTGTAAGTACCTTCTTCTTCTTCGCCAACATCACGTGTGCGGGGAGGCAGGCCCAGGATTTCATCACTTCTCATTCTTACAAGTACGTCGGCCTGGTGGAGACTCACGTCGACGCCGAGGGCCTTGCCCATGGGGCGCCAAAGCTCGCGCTGCCCATCTTCGGCTACTCGCCAACCCAGCTCGGCCTTCAGGTCGGGGCGCCTCAGGGGCCAGCCAGGCGATGGGCCAACGAGGGCGGCGAGTGGCTTCTGACGCAGGGCCATCGTAGCGTGAGGAGCCTAGCTGAGTCGCGGGCAGCCTTGCGAGCAGACGGGCACCTTGCGCTCGACGGCATGCAACTTTCAGTCATAGACATGAAAGGGTTTTCTTTCGTTTCAGTCTGCTTCTACGGATTTGTTAGTGAAGGTTGGTCAGGGAGGAACCTATACAGCGGTTTCGTAGGCTCGGGGCGCTCCTTGTCAGTCTCCAGCATCCATGGGTAGTCTTTGCAGATTGGAACACGCTGGTCCAAGTTCTAGGGAGTCCAGAGGGTTTTTTTTTGTGAGGACCGGTGGGCGTGTCTTGAGGGCTTCGAGTCTCGCAGCCACGCGCGCGGCAGGTGCGAGAGGTTCGGAGATAGATTATGCCATAGCCAGTGAACCGTTTATACCGTACGTTCTTTCTTCTGAGGCTGTGGTCGCCGCGCCATGGAACACGAGCTGCGGGTTACTCATGCGATTCCGAGGCGCGGCCGCTCAGCTTCTCACGCGCTCGCTTGATTTGCCCAGTAAGCTACCCCAAACCCATCGCCCGTCTTCCCTTCCCTCTCGTGGGTCGAAGTCTTCCAGGGCTAAGGCTCGGCGTCTTGAGGCCCAGGAGGAGGTGGCGGCGAGGGTCAAGGGGGGGGGACTTTTTGCTTTTGGGTGATGTTCTGGACGAGCCAGAAGAGGGCTTACAGGACACCCAGTTTTGTTTCAACCCGTGCCCTGAGTCTTCTGGTTTAGGTTTGGGAGCCTGGGGCGAAGAGGAGGAGGGCCCGTGGGCCGACGAGGGAAATTTCGGCGCCTGCGACGGGGCTTCTGTGTCTGGCGCCAGCCACCCTGGAGCCAGCAGTGTCGGAGGCATGGCTGGAGCCCCACTCGTTAGCCCTGGGCCCATCCCCAGCCCCCAGCAGGCCCCAACAGGTCTCACTGCGTCCAGCCCCCCGGCCCAGGCAGCAACAACCCCAGAGGAGCCTGACGTCCCCTTGTGCACATATGCTGGTGCTCCTGCGCTCGCTGCTCTCCCCCCTTCTTCATTCCGTCATCATCCTGGCTCGAACATAGGGCCCGTGTTGGCTTTCTTTCGGCCTCCTGCAGTTGGGGCGTTGTTTCGGATTCTCTCGCTTTCAAGGCGGGAGCCACTCGCGTCCACCACATCAGCGGCATGTACGCGGCACGGGCGACAGCCGTGGAGAGCTGCATCTCGGCGCACCATGGGATGTCCATCCCAGCGGGGAGGCCTCGCCGCGCGCAAGGCGCGAGGTTCAGAGTGCACGAGGTGCGCGTGGCAGAGCGCACTCGTGCCCTCCCGCTCCAGGACGTCTGCAGCGCGTGGTGGGCCAGGACTCGCGCGGTGCTCGCCAGGATCCTCCACCACAGACGCAGATTCAACGGCGTCCGACAGCGTGCGACGCTCGCGGCAGCCTGCCAGAAGCTAGTGACGGACTACCCCAGCCAGGCCCACCAGACGCTTCACAGGATGTGGTCTTGGGCGGCGCGGCTAGAGCACCTGAGGGACCCTTTCGTTTTCACGACCGAGCTGCTGGCAGACCTCGTGGAGGTGGCCGACAAGGGGGCCAGCGGGGCCCGCGGCGCAGCCCTGCAAGCGTCACTCGACGAGCTTCGGTCGTGGATTGCCGAAGATGGTGCAGTCAATATTCTACGCAGGAGTTTCAAGAAGGTACCAGCCCCAGCATTGGAGATAATCACTCCAGGCGGGGCCCTTCACCATCTACGAGACGCCATCGACAGCAAGGTCACGAAGTGGCACGACTTGCGGGGGCGCCAGCCGCTAGGCAAAGCCGAGCTGCCCAGGACCATGGATGCCATCAAGGAGGAGGCTGAACACCAAGAGCTCCCTGCCCTCACCGGGGACGCGCTCAAGGCCGCGGCGCGCCAGATGCGGCCCAGGGCGGGGCAGGGAGTGGACAGGTTCTCTCCGCTTGACGTGGAGCGCTTGCCTGCCGAGAGCCTCGAGGAGCTGGCGCGTGTCCTCGCGGCGACGGACGCGGGTTTCAGCTGGCCCTGGCACTCGCTCCTCATCATAGGTCGCCTCCTGCCGAAGAAGACAGGAGGCGACAGAACTATCGGACTGGTGGGCATGATTCCTCGCATCTGGTCGCTGGCGAGGGAACCGTTGATCAAGGATTGGGTCAAGGACCAATGAGTCGCAGCCCCACTGGGGCGCGGCCGTGGTGGGGAATTCGTCCTTGAGAGAAGGTCTCCTCCGCATCTTGGGCAATGGGCCCCACGCCCGCCTCGGCCTGTCCCTCGGTCACGGTTTGGTTGATGCTCAGAGTTTTATGATTGTACCTGTTGGCTTCGTCTCATCAGGGCGGCCCTTGGTTTGGGCTTCCCTCCAGTTATTCCATTCCTGGAAGTGCAGCTCTGCATGCCCCCTCGCACGCTGGTTTAACAAGATTGTTTGTTTCTCCGACGCGTTCCAACCGAGCCGCAGTGTGATTCAGGGGCTCCGCAGCGGGGCCCGCTTTGCACGTTGCATGACATACTGTATTGTGGGCCGTCTGACGAGGCCACGTTCGAGAGTTGACATGCGGCTCTGGGTGGGCGACCTTCCGCAGCATGCACTCGGACCCTGTGGACATGTTCGGAGGACGCTGGTGAAGGTGCTGACTCAGACCAGCGAGGGCTTGTGCGAGCACGGGCTGGCAGTTGCGAGCAAGAGCGCGGTGCTGTGTTCCTCTCATCGGGGCGCGAAGTTCGTGGCGGCGAGCCTGAGGCGCAAGGGGGTCATCGTCTCCGCCGTCCGCCAGGCGCCCTTCCTCGGGCTGGACACGGGAGCGGGGCGCCATGCTCGGGCTACCCAGCGCAAGAGGGTGGCCAAGGCCACAACGATGCATCGCCGCATTGCTAGTTTCGCCAGGGCAGCGCGCCGCTACCGCCCCTCGATGAGGCTCGAGGCGGCAGGCGCGCAGCCTGCTGGGCACGACGGGCACCAGGTGCTGGGCGTCTTCGGCTCGGCGATGCTCAGCATGAGGAGGCGCCTCGGCCACGTGGCCAGCTCGGCCAAGAGGGGGCGATGCCTCACCACCATCCTGGGCCTCAGGCATGCCGACCAGGACCCTGGCTACCGCCCCCCACGCGACTGCTTACGCCTACGGTTGCGCACTTGGTTTGCCGAGCCGGGGCCGCGCAACGGCGCGAAGCAGGCGCGGCCGAAGGTTGCGCAGCAGCTGAGGGATCTATCCTTTTTGCAGTGCAGCCGCCATGTCAGAGGCCCGCTTTCCGCAGTCCTTTCGTATCTTTTGCAGTTCGATTGGGACCCAGTCTCGGCCACAGAGTGGGGCGCGCTCCCTGCTGGAACCGAGGGTCGAGAGTCTTTCATTTTCGATGGCGACCTGGGCCCAGACACTGATTTCAACGATTTGATCTTGGAATTCGAAGCGACCATCAAGCGTCAGCTGTGGACCACAGCGGCGACCCATTTCTGCGGAGAAGGGCTGCAGGAGGGGGCCGGCAATCCATATCTGAGGAGTTTTCTTCGCCATCTGGAGCTCGCACATAAGGGGCGCAAGCTTTCGGAGCTGATGTTGTGCATTGCTGCTGGCGGCACATGGCCCAGGCAGCGCGTCGAGGGCGAGGTTGGAGGTGTAGATTCTGTTTTGTGTGCGCGCTGCGGCCAGGAACCTGGGGCCATGTTTCATCGTTGCTGGCCATGCCCGAAGAATGCTGACGCCGAGGCTTTCACGGCTTCGCAGAGTCTGGCGCCCCAGGCGTACGCGCAGCACGAACCGGGGCCCTGTTTTTGGCTTCGCGGCATTGTGCCTGCGTCGTGGACCGAGGTGCCCGCTCCACCCAACCACCCGAGTTGGTTTGCAGTGGGGTCGACGGTCCACTCATCCAAGGCTCCCTAGGCACGGGTTCGAGCGCGGCTCCGCTGGTGGTCTTCGGGGGCGCCAGCGGCGGCCCTGCGCCCACGCAGGGTCGGTCTAGGACTGGCCGCAATCTCGTCTTTCAACCCGTGCAGAATCGACGTGTCGATTCGAGGGCCGTTGCCAGGCAGGCAACAGACGGTCCCCAGAGGCGAGCTGTTCAGTTTAGTTTTGGCGGTCGAGTTCAGCGGTGGCCCCCCTCATTTGCGTCGCTGACAACGAGGCGGTCATGCGCGGCTGGCTTCAGCACACCTACGAATGCCCGGCGGGGGACAATGCTGACTTGTGGTGCGCTTTAGGCAAGCTTCGCTCGAACAGGAACTTTAACACGATGGTGGTGCTACAAGTGCCCTCGCATCAGTCTGCGGCAGACCTCGTTCGCTCGGAGCTTCCTCAGTGGATGGCCTTGGGCAGCCTGCCGCGGACGAGCTTGCGGGAATAGCCGCGAAGGGGGCACGTGTTTCGCAGTTTTTCAGACACAAGGTCGCACAGGCCGAGCTGACGGCCACACATGTTCGGAGGCGACCTCTTCGTGCCCATCTCGAGGCAGCCATTGCCGACAAGCGGCACGGTGTCTCGGTTAGGAAACGGTGCCCTCCCCCCTCTGCTGCGGCCGTTGCCTTTTTCGCTTCCTCGCATGCGCTGTCTGACGACGGCAGGAGTTGCCAGAGGTGCCATGCCAGCGCGTCGATCGCCACCCTCACGCAGTAGCGTGGTTCAGAATGTGTTGACCTAATTCGTCAG